TACTCCCGAGGAGGCAGGGCAAAAAGTAATGCGAGATCCCTCCTCCTCCTCCTCCTCCCAGAGGCGGGTCAGGAGCGGGAGGCGTCTACACGATCATCCCCTTCTTCTCCATCCTCCTGATCCTGATCCTTGCTGCCTCTGCCTCTGCCTTGCCTTCTTCATCCCGGGAGGATGGCTCCTTTCCTGCTGGCCGCGGTGGCCTTCTTCTTTGCCCACGAGGGACAAGGAGCAGCAGGAGCAGCCCAGCTGAGCCTCCAGGCAGGAGCCCAACCGGTGCGGCAGGTCAGCCCCTTTTTCCTCTCGCTCACCATCGATGCCAACCTGGCCACGGACCCCAGATACATCACCGTCCTCGGGTAGGTCCAGCCCTAAGGCAGATCCAGGCACCCAAGGCTTCAGGATGCCAACCTTTTTTTTGGGGCCAAGCAGCCTGCAGAGCTAAGCTAAGCAAAGCAAAGCAAAGTATGCGAGGGGGAGCTGGACCTGTGGAATGCCTTCCTTGGCATCAGGGCCATAGCCGTGCGAGTTTGGGAAATCTGTAATGCAAAGGGATCTGGAACTGGAAGAAAGTCTGGGGAATCTGTAATGCAAAGGGATCTGGTGGTTCCTTTGAGAGGAACTGGAAGAAAGTCTGGGGAATCAGTCGGTAATGCAAAGGGATCTGGTAGTTCTTTTGAAGAGAACTGGAAGAAAGTCTGGGGAACCTGTAATGCAAAGGGATCTTGTAGCCGCTTTGAAATGAACTGAAAGAGGGAAGTTATTAGTATCAAAGGTGTTACAAGAATTAGTCTTTCTGAAAGGAACTACCAGATCCCTTTGGCATGCTGATTTTCCAGATTTTCTTTCAGTTAGTCTCAAGGATGCTACAAGATTCAGTTAGTCTCAAAGGGGAGACAAGATCCCTTTGCATACAGATTTTTCAAACGTTCTTTCAGTCTCAAAAGTGCTACCAGGTCCCTCTGATTATTGATTTTCCAGGCTTTCAATTAGTCTCAAAGAGGCTACCAGATCCTTTTTTTAGTTAGTCTCAAAGGTGCTATACAAGATCTCTTTGCTTACTAATTTTCCAGACTTTGCTTGTCTCAAAAGGTGCTACAAGAACCCTTTGCATACTGATTTTCCAGACTTTCAGTTAGTCTCACAGGTCCTATGAGATCCCTTTGCATATTGATTTTCCAGTCTTTCTTTCAATCTGCCTCAAAGGACCTACAAGATCCCTTTGCATACCAGGGCTATGGCATTGATGGCAAGCAGGCATTCAACAGGTCAAGCTTCCTCTCCATCCATCAGCATACCTGGGGAAGTCTCACCCTCCAAATGGTTGTGTGTCTGAGAAGGATGCTGGAAACTGGAGTGAGTGATATGATAGTGGAATGACAATGTTAGGATTTAGGACTACAAGCCCCAGAATCCTCCAAGTAGCCAGCTGCCTGGAGGATTGTAGAAACCGTAATCCAAAAAAGGAACTTTTCACAGGATCAAAATTTCTAAGAAATTTTATTCCCCGCCCTTCAAGTTTTGAATAGCAACCTCATATTTACAATCTCTTTAAATCAACTTGCTTAGTTTTGTCTGTCCCCTGATTAAAAAAAAAAAAATTATGGTTTGCTGCTTTGTTTCCTTTTTGTTTTTACATATGTCATTTAATACTGTTTTGAATCCAATGCTTTTAATTGTTTTAAAACTTTTCATGTAAGGTATTTGTTTTGTTTTTAAATGTTTTTGTTTGTGAACCGCCTCGGGTCCTTTTCTGGGAGAAAGGCGGCCTAAAAAAATTAAATAAATAAATAAATGAATAAATAAAAATAAAAATTCCCTGATAGAAATGCGTTTCTTCCTCTCTTATGAGTTGCACAGCGGTTTAAGCCTAGCAAGAGATCACCCAGTTAGTTGCAGAAAGCAGAAGCCTAATGGTGATATCTCAGAGTCTCTCTGCATAAACAGTTGGCCCTCCACATTTGCGGCTTTGACTTTTGCAGATTGGATTATTTGCGGTTTTGATGAATATATGTCCTCTCTAGGAATCTCTAGGTCCTCCAGCGCAACTCTGCCAGATGTTGACCATAGAGTTGTGCTGGAGAACCTAGAAGTTCCTAGGGAAAACACTTCTCTAGGAACATTTGTAGGTCTTCCACCACGATTCTATGATCAACATCTGGCAGATGTTGACTACAGAGTTGCACTGGAGGACCTGGACATTACTAGAGAGGTGTTTGTTCTCTTAGGTAAAAAGAATATTAGGCTTTTTATTCGTGTTTTTTCCACATTCATGGGGGTCCTTCACTCCTAACCTCAGCGAATGCAGAGGGGTCACTGTAGTCAGAGGCACTCTCAAATCACATAAACTCTTGATCTCTAAATCCAATGAGGTTTAGGTCCAGATTATCTGAAAGACTGTATTATATCCCCATACAAACCTGCAAGAAAGGCTCTTTTGGAGATGACACAGATGCTGCATCCTGGGATTTGTAGTTTGTTGTGGCACCAGAGCAGAGCACAATTCCATAGCATTGAGCCATGGCAATTAAAGTGGCGTCCAACTGGATTATTTCTCCAGTGTGGATGCAGCCAGAGAGAGCCTTCTTAGTGGCTGCTCCTTACCTATGGAACTCCCTGCTGCAGGAAACCTGGCTGGCTCCTTCCCTGCTTTCCTTTTGCCTGCAGGCCTAACTCTTTTTGTTTCTGCGGGCTTTTAATATGCAATCATACCAGGAAGGCCTTTTTGTTTATTTTTTAACTTTTGTATGTTTTAAATCATTTTTTGTTTTGTTTTTGTTTTTTGTTTTTGTTTTTATTTATTGTAAAAAGACAAACAATGGGCCTTTGCAGACTGCCAGGCTTCTAAACTGAGTCCACTTTAAGGGTTAGGGTTAGGGTTAGGGAATCATGGGAACTGTATTTTATTGTGGCACCAGAGCTCTCTGACAGAGAAGGCTCAATGTCTCAGGGGAAAAAAAAATTCCCATGATTCCCTAGCACTAACCCTAACCCTTAGACTCAATTTGCACTATTTCTGGCAGTCTGCAAAGGCCCAATGTCACAAAAACATAATACACTTGTCCTTTGCCATCCACAGACTTGCCATCCACAGTCTCAGCCTTTCGCAGATGGCAAGCGGTGAGAAATAAAATGTCACGCGCGCCCAAGGCGAACACGCAGCACTGCGCAAAGGAGCGTTTGACCATTCTAATCAATGGGGCTCCAGTATTTGCAATACCCACGAATCGGAAGGGACAACTGTATACATAAACATACATACTTAGACATGCATACTAATCATACACACTAACACTGAACCCAAACGTCTAACAATAAAACAGCTATTAACTTTTCCAATAAACATTATCAAATTGTCTTTAATTTTAATAAATTGTCTATAAATTGCACAATAAGCTTGTTGCAAGCTTTTTGAAGCAGTCTAGGGAAGTGCTTTAAGGATGAGGGGATCCCTATTCTGCCAGACATTCTCACCCAGCCTAACCTGCCTTGCAGGAGTGTTGCAAGGAACCTAGACAATGTCTCCGATCACATATTGTTGTGTTTTTAATGGACCTCCTCTGTGACATTTTTCACTCTCCAGGCTTCTATTTTATTCCTTCCGCTGGAGGATGAATGAGCTGGCATCTGTGAGATTAAGGAGCAATTGCACCCTTCATTATCTTCTTGGCTCAAGTATTTTGCATTGCCATTTCCTGTGGTTCCCCTGAGTTCATGACATACGTCTGTTGTTTTCCCACATAGCTGAGATAGCTGCTGTTTCCTTGCACAACATATTGGCCACATTGCACCAGGTTAAAATGCATCCACACAGAGGTTTCACCCCTCAGTAAGCCCTGTGAGTTTCCTGCAATTTATTGCTGACACAAAACTGGAGCGTCCTCCACATGGGTGCCTTTAAAGCAGTGATGCATATAATCAGAGTTCGAATCCTCCACTTAACTGTGAAACCCACTGGGTGACCTTGGGCAGGTCACACACTCTCTCAGCCTCAGAGGATGGCAAATGGCAAAGACCCTCTGAAGAAACTTGCCAAGAAACCCCATGATAATGTTGCCATAAGTTGGAAATGATTTGAAGGCACATAATAGCAACAACAAATGAACTGCGTACCTAGGTTTTTGTGGGTTTTTTGGGCTGTGAGACCATGTCTAAAAGAATATATTCCTGACGTTTCGCTTGCATCTGTGGCTGGCATCTTCAGAGAGAAGATGCCAGCCACAGATGCAGGCGAAACGTCAGGAATATATTCTTCAAGAACACGGCCTCACAGCCAGAAAAACCCACAAAAACCTATGGATGCTGGCCGTGAAAGCCTTTGACTTCACATTGAAGTGCGTACTCTCCAGCATTGCAAAGATGAAAACCAGAACATTCAAATGTTAAAATGGCAAAAATTATTAATGAAGAAGAAGAAGACACAACAGGAGATGCTTCAGCAGTTTGCTTTTCCCTGAGCCTACTGGGAAGGGCAAACTTCTGCCTACTCCTCTCCTTTCCCAGCTGCTGAGTTCACTGAATACAAACTACTTTTGCACCTTGACATCAGTTTACGGCAGTGGAAGTAAGCTGAGGGCAAAGCGGGAGGAGCACAGAGAAACTGGGACATTTTAAAAGCAGCTGAAAACGTGGGACAACAGAGAATTAATTAGAGCTATAATTAAGTAGTAGGGTCCTATTATTTCTCACCTTCTATTTGAATTTAAGTTCTGTGCTTGGAATAAAATATAGAAAGTTATTTACTTCCTATTTTTCTTCCTTCTTTCTGAATACATATATATGTTATTGTTCTTCATCATATCACGTTTCAGGGCAGTGTACAAAGGTGTATCTATTTTCTTAAATGTTGTTGTGTGCCTTGAGGTCATTTCCAACTTATGGTGACCCTAAGGTGAATCTACTATGGGGTTTTCTTGACAGGTTTCTTCAGAGGGGGATTGTCATTGCCATCCTCTGAGGCTGAGAGAGCGCGACTTGCCCAAGGTCACCCAGTAGGTTTACACAACTTAGGCAGAGATTCGAACCCTGGTCTCCAGAGTCATAGACCAATGTTCAAACCACTGCACCACACTGGCTCTCAATTTCTTCTTATGAATACTTTATTCTGTCTCCCAGATTTAGATTATCAGATGCAGATTATCAAGCAAGGGTGGTTTTGTGCACTTGTGCTTTTAAAAAATTGTGGCAAGCAGATGTCTTGAGAGAAAAAGACATGTTAACCCATCATTCCCCAGGAGGGATTGGCTAGCCTATCATTTGCAAATAAAGACTGATGAACCAGTGTAGGTATAGTGATTTAAATATTGGATTAGGACTCCAGAAGACCAAGGTTCAAGTCCATGCTTGGACATGGACATCCATGGGTGACCCTGATCAAGTCACACTCTCTCAGTCTAAAAGGAAGGTGATGGCAAACCCTTTCTGAATAAATCTTGCCAAGGGATCACTGTAAATCGGAATCAACTTGGAACGTGCGCAACAAGAACAAAATTGATGGAGCAAGGCTGTCCTGGGTATTTAATGCAAGTGATACATGTGGCATCTGAGGCCAGAAGTAACTAGTAGGGCAGTGAACCATAACTCACTAACTTTTTTTGTGAAAAGGCCATACGGAAGTTACATTTCAAAAAGCAGTTTAACAAGTTGACAAGTTGTTTGGAAGCCATCAGTACCTTAGTTACTTACAAAATTATTTTTAAGCAGCATTTTTAGAAAAAAAAATTTAAGCAGAATTGTTGACAGTTTAAAATTTATACTATTATTTGGTTATTCCTAAAGTGTGTGTTCGTTTTAAATTAATAGAAAAGTTAATGCATTTCCTAATGCAGCAAAATTTTTGGAGAGCCAGCATGTTGTTGTGGTTGAAACATTGTGCTATGACTCGAGTCCAGGGTTCGGATCGGCTCTTGTCCATGGAAACCACTGTGTGACCTTGGGCAAGTCACAATCTCTCAGCCACAGAGGGAGACAATGACAACCCCCTCCAAGACACTTGCCAAGAAAGACCCATGATAGTTTTGTCTTAGGGTCGCCATAAGTCGGAAATGACCTGAAGGCACACAACAACAACAACAACAAATATTAACAATAAGACATTTCTTTGGGATTTTGTCATGAATTACATAATGGGTTACTTTTAAAACTAATATTCCAGGTTCTAACCATAACATTCTCTCTCAATTGTGTGTGTCTGATTGTTTTACCAGCATGTTTCTAGTCTTTAAAGGCAGTAAAAAGATGTGTGATTGCGAATATACCTTATAAAAACTCAGACGTCAAAAGGAGAGCACTACCCGAGGTGGAGCTGCCTAGTTCTTTATTCCTGTGCATCACTAACAAAAGGAGGTTAAATCTGGATCTTGTAGCACCTTTGAGACTAACAGAAAGAAATTGGCAGTACAAGCTTTCGTAGACTACAGGAGATTAAATTTAAAGAAAGGAATGAGAGAGACAAATTTTAAAGAAATGACTACATTCATTTTTTTCTTATTATACATAATAACTTCAGCTGCTAATCGGATCTATATCTTGAAAAATTTGGATCCATAGTTTGATAAATACTAACCAGAACAGCACAAAATGAGCACATATGCTAATTTGTTTGAGTGATGGGCTACAACTCTGGAGACCAGGGTTCGATTTCCAGCTGGACCATGAAACTCACTGGGTGACCTTGGGCAAGCCACATGCTCTCAGCCTCAACTAAAGGCAATGCCAAACCTCCTCTGAACAAATCTTGCCAAGAAAGCCCCATGATAGGTTCTCCTTAGGGTCACCATAAGTTGGAAGCAACTTGAAGGCACACAGCAACAATGCACTCCCAATCTATCTCCATTTTACTGGAAAGCAGAGAATGAAAGACAAAGCAAAAAAGCTTGGTTCAACATGTTCAGATCTATATTTCCAAAGTTTAACAGCGCCACTGATTTCTGTTCATCAGTGTGACATGGGCAATATTCTTAAGCCCTCCTTTACAATCGTAAGGACTAGAGACTCGTTTTTAAATATTTAAAGCTGACATTTACATGATGGACTCTATGAGACTGTGCACCACCTATATGGCAACAGTGTGTGCATTCAATGTGCATACCCCATCTATTATTTTCCCCCAGTTTTCCACAGCCCCTTGAATTACTCCATATATGATTAATATTGATTTATTGATTTATATCTGTTGGCAGCCCCTTTGAGCCTTGGGCTGCAAGTAAACTAAGCGAGAAGCTGTTATTCTATGAGTCCTTGATGTGTATCTCAGCTGGTTTACCAGTTCCCATCAGGAAGTACTTGGTGTTTCATAATCTGCTTTGTATCACCCATTAACAGATGCAGACTCTCTTTACATCTTTACAAGTGATTTACTTTAACTATGGCCATTCAGGGAGCTCAGTCTGGCAAGCACATGCCAAGTATGTTTGCAGTCTTTGAATGAATGCCAGAATGGTATGAGCAGGTTTAAATTCTGCTTTTGTCTTTCACTAAAGGGAAAACCATTACAGTGGGTCCCTGGTATCTCCCTAGGGTTTGGTTCCAGGACATCCCTCATACCAAAATCTGGAGATGCTCAATTCCCATTGAGCATCACACACATTGTGTGTGTGTGTATGTATATATACATACACAAACACATTCCAAAAAGCAAACCTTGATTTTACCATTTTATATAAGAGACACCATTATATTTAATGGGAGTTGAGCATCTCCAGATTTTGGTATGAGGGATGTATATATTTTCAAGCCACGGATGGTTGACTCTGTGGATAAAGAATCCATGGATACAGAGAGCCGACTGCATTTTTCATTTATAAAGTGCCATCAGAGTGATTGTTGTTGACGATCTGTTACTGTTTTTGTTCTTGTGTTCCTTCAAATCATTTCTTATGGTGACCCTATCACTTGGAGGCCTGTCATTCATAGGGTTGCCATATGTCAAAGTTGACTTAACAACTTAACAACAACAAGGGCTTTTCTTGGAAGATTTGCTCAGAGGGGGTTTGTGTTTGCCTATCTCCGAGGCTGAGAGAAAGTGACTTGCCTAAATTCACCAGTGGGTTTCATGGCAGAGCAGGGAATTGAACCCTGGTCTCCAGAGTCCTAATCCAATACCCAAACCACTGTGCCATGCTAAAGTCCAGTAATACCCTGCATACCGCATACCTTCCAACTGTCCCAGTTTGGCTGGAATAGTGTCAATTGTTCCTGTGTTATCCCATTTTTTCTGCTACTTTTTAAATGTCCCAGTTTTTCTTTCCACCTGCTACTCTCCCCTTTGTCCTCAGTTTACTTTTATTGCTGCACACTGAATTCAGAGTGCAAAAGTACTTTGCACTCCATTAACTCACTGTGAGAAGAGAAGAGAAAGGGGCCAAATCTTGCTCATCCAAGTAGGCAAAGGCAAACTGTCTCAGCCTCTCCTAGCTTGTGTGTTCTTCTTCATTAATAATTGCTGTCATCTTGACTACACTCAGATGCTGCTTGGTCATATATGTCCCAGTTTTCATCTGTGAAATGTCGGAGGGTTAGGTACCACAGGTTGCCTGCTTATTCTAGATCAGAACTTCCCAATCTTTTCTATGCTCCACACCCCTAAGAAATGTTTGATTAATGTTTGCACCCCCTACAAAAGTAATATCACATTTGAAGAATTCAAAGATATAGCCATGTTAATCTGTAGAATCAGTATGTACCGGTAGAGAGAACTTTTTTGCACTTTTGAGACCAACTGAAATAAAAAAGTTGGCAGCATGAGCTTTAGTAGACTTCAGTCTATTTCCTCAGATGCATATACAGTTGGCCCATTCTGGACCCCCCTGCAAAAACAGATTAGCAAATATTCAAGCCCCATAGGCTTGAATAGGGTACCCCCCTTGCAGGCGGGCATCCCATTGATGTAAATGGTGGTTGCCCCTCTGTGAATATGTAAAACCGCGGACTTGAAGTCTGTGAGAATGGAGGGGCGACTATAGTCATTTTGAAGATGACGACGTCTAAATTCTAATTTTTGAACCACAAATCAAACCACATACAATACTATGGATGAACAAATTTAACTTAAAAGAATAAGCTTCTAAACACAGCAGTGGCATCACTTGGGGGTGCGTACTGCACCAGGTGACACCTTGAGGGCAGTGACACTACTGGTCCTCAAACACCTTTTGGCAAAAACAGACTGTGGCATTCATCTATATCTCTTTAAAATGTTATAAGAGATGGTGGGAGTGGGCTGAAGCTCAGTGGGAGGAGAAAGGAGAGACCCCAGAATTTTTTAAAATTAAAATTTCAAATTTTTAATTTTTTAAAAAAATTGAATGTTTAAATTTTTTAAAATTCTTTTTAAATATTCTTTAAAAACATCACATTTTAATCAAATCTTCACTATATATATGTAAATACATTTAGGCTGTGCATATGATATTGTAATTTGAAGGTGTAATTTTAATTTTGCTGCTTGTTTTATGTCACAACGATTACCCTGACATTTGGTGGTATATGGGAATTATGATTTATGAGTAACGTTAGTGCAAAAAAAAAGCATGACTAAGGATTCTGTATGGTGTGAAATGGGAGGAGGCCAGTGGTGGGGGGTGCCACCATGAGTTACCGCACCGGGTGACACCAACCTTAGGGATGCCACTGAAACACAGAGCATAAAATGCAAATCTGTATTGAGCAATTAAATGAGTGATGATTTGTGACTGGTCACTCAAGGATACAACTAGGGTTGCTGGCACCCCAGGTTGGGAACCCCTGTTCTAGATTTATTTGTGATGGGAAAGCACTCTGTACATGCTGAGAGTCATCCTTTGTTGTTATCCCAGCATAAATACAGCAATAGCTGGTAATGAAAACAGATTATTTGATCTGGTAAGAAAAGAATCCAGAAAAGTGGGTTACACCCATCACTGTTCAGAATTGAGGTAGGAAAGCCATGTGATTCCATATTGACTAAATACCTCGCCTACCCAGATTAAGCCCTGAGGACAGGAAATTGTTGTAATAGGTGTGATTAGGTTAAATCAAACCTGCAGTGCACACAAGTTGTCAAGTAAATAAGGCAGCCAGAAAAGCCTGCCCTGAAACCAGCCTGCACAGGGTTGCCCTTGACTTCTTAGAGAGATCCATTATAAACCTGTTTGGCTCTGTACCAGTCAATTAATAGGAATCTAGTTTGCCTTAGGATGTCAAAGCAAGCCACTTGCATGTGACTTGTAAATTGCTGGTGCGGGATTTGGGATGCTTAGATGTTTAAAATGTCATCTTTATTTAGAATTAGAAATGTGGCATGTCAGCGGAAAATCCAACCCATGACTCACAGCAAACTGAGGAAATATCCAGGCTGTTTTCATTGTTTTAACCAGCTAGGTACTTCCTGATGCACACCCAAAGTGTTCAGTGTGCATCAGAAGTACCTGATGTGCCCTACGAGGGTTGGAGCACTCTTGCCAGTGGTGGGTGGGTTTCGGGATTTTGGCTTGTTTATATTGTACTGTAATTTATTTATATGAAATTTTAATGCTGTAAGCCTCCCCAATTGCTCTGCAGGGAGGTGGGGTATAAATAAATTATTATTATTATTATTATTATTATTATTATTATTATTATTATTATTATTAGACGCACACTGTCACAATTCACTGACAAGGCTTTGTTGTGTTTCTGCAAAATAGCTATGGATTCTTAAAGTTATAAAATGTATAATGTGATATAGGATCTTGGCTTTAAACATTATTTCTGCTACTACATTTGCTGGAGTGAGGGGCACAAGACCCCTGTGAAAGTGGGAAAAAAATGCAAATACCTAAGAGAACACTTCTCTAGGCATTTGTAGGTCCTTCAGTGCAACAGTTTGATCAACACCTGCCAGAAGTTGTCCATAGAATTGTGCTGGAGGACCGACAAATGCCTAAAGAAGTGTTCTCTAGCAATATCTAGGTCCTCCAGCTATGATTTCTGCAGACATTGCCCATAGTGTCGAGCTGGAGGACCTAGAGATTCTTAGAGAGAACATATTAATCAAATCCATGAATAATCAAATGCATAAAGTAAAAGCCGCAAATGTGGAGGGCTGACCGTACTACTTACTACAGTCAGCTCCCAACTTTCACAGAATTTGATAATTTGTGAGTTTGTAGCTGATGCTTAATTAGATGCCGCTGGAACTAGAAAGCCCTAGAGACCTCATTGGCGGCAGTAGCAGAAGCTCACCCTCCTCCTCTCAGTCTCTTTCGTGCCAATAGCCCTGGCCAGAGGTGTCACTAGGAGGTGCAGGGTTTTTGGACCGCAATAGGTGACAGCCTAAGGGGGGGGTGACACCACTGCTCCCCAAACATCTGCCTTTGGGTGGAAACGGGCTGTGATATTCGCCTGCATCCGTTTAAAACGATGGAGAGATGGACTGAGTGGGGTGAGGTTCAGTGGGGGGAAAGGGTTTCTTTTAATTTGGGCCAATCTGCAGAGGCCTTAAATTTCATTTTTTTAAAATTTGCTGAGATGTGATGTTTTTAAAGAAAATTTAAAAAGAATAAAAAAATTCAAGTTTAACATTTTATTCTTTATTCTTTTTAATTTTACTCTAAAAATACCACATCTCAGCAAATTTTCACTTTCACCACATGAAATTATGTACATGTGAATACATTTACGCTTTGCATATGATATTGTAATTTAAAGGTACAGTGCACCCACACCAACCACGGTCTTGCCATCTGCAGATTTGAGCTTCCGTGGATGGCAAGTTCCAGCTTTTTTAATGGGTGTATGCATGTACGTAGCCATGCGTGCATGTGCGCACGGCCATTGAAAAGAATGGGACTTAAGATGCTGCATTTTTTGCTATCCATGGGGGGTGGGTGGGGTTGGAACGGACACCCCCCCCCCAACGGATAGCAAGTGACTACCATATAATTCTAGTTTTGCTAGTTCTTATGTCACAACTGTTGCCATTGCATGCATTCAGTGATATACAGGAATTACAATTTATGATTAACATTCTTACCAAAAACATTAGTAAGGATTCTGTATGTGGCGTAGTATGGGAGGAAGTCAATGGAGAAGGTGACACCGTGAGTTACTGCACTGGGTGTGCCAACCTTAGTGATGCCACTGGCCCTGGACCATACCTCCCTTTCCTGCCCTGGCACCACAAAACCTCTGCTTTGCTTCGGGGCCACCACAAATCCTCCTTCCTTTGCCTCTTCTCTACTTCACAGTTTATTTCAGATCCCATCAAAATATTCTGAGAGGTACAATAGAATTGTAGAATTACAGAATCTTAGAGCTGGGAGGGACTGTGAAGAGAGCAAAGTTATTGACTTTCATGCGCACAAGTCCCTTGTTGGACAGTGCTTGGTGATCCCCTGCTTCTGGGGAGTAGAACTACAGTAACTCAAGTGGCAACCTGAGAGCGAGGCAAAGATATCGTGACGCCAAGGGAGAAAAGAGAGGTACAAGCCAGGGCTGTTGGTGGGGAAAGAGTCTGTAGCATGCATTCTTGGGGAAGGAAGTGGTTAGATGTTGGTGTTTTTTCCACTTTCACTGGGATACTGAGCCCCTAACCCTTGCAAAAGTTGGGAGCCGACTGTAATACCAACAATAGCAATAACAAGAACAACTGTCTTTTCTTGGCATTCCCTTCCCTAGCTCTACAAAACTACGCACACTAGCAAGAGGATTATCTCCCGGCTTTTTGAGGTTTGGTGGCACAAAAACAGACTTCTTGATTTTTGACCCCAAAAAGAAGCCAACGTTGGAGGAAAAGGTTTTCCTGGATCTGTTTGCAAAAGGAGGTAAGCTGGAGGCTAGAGCTATAAACCTTAATACACTTTCTAGTGAGCCAGCCCTCTTGAACACAGTGGGGCCAATGTCAGGGAGATGCACACAGGGCTGTACTTCCCATCTGTTAGAGAAAATCCTGCCCTTGGAGAGCAAACTGGCCAGGCACCCAAATTACTTGACCACAATCTTCCTCATGCTGGTAAGAGATGCTTGTTGTTGTTACGTGCCTTATGGAAACCCTATGAATAAGAGACCTCCAAGAATCCTAGCCATTAATAGTCCTCCTTTAGTTTGTGCAAATTCAGGGCTCTGGAAACAATCCAAGTATATTGTGATCTTCCTCTTTTTTCCC